ATGTAGGTGTAGTTGTTGTTTTAATTGTTTTCAACACACAACCGAGGTGGATGCAACACAAAGCTTCTGTTTTAACGTTTATGACTCATAGCAACAATTAAAATATAAAAAAACACTTTTAAAAAATAAAGCAGCTGCTACAACAGCAACAACAAAAAATCAAAACACAACAAAACTAGAATTACAACTGATTCCGAACACAGTACAAAAACAAATAATGAGAATGGAACGAACGAACGAACGAAACGGACAAACAAACGTTACGCGTTTTAACACAGTTCCTAACCAACTGTTCGATGGATGGGTTTGTCGTTATGTACATGGGTAGTAGATTGGGTAGGTAGGTAGTTGTTTTAACAATGGTAGTAGCTGGTTAGTGTTGTTATTGTTAGTGTAGTTGTATCTTGTATCCAAAAAATACACATGTTCGGCGGTTGATTTGTTAAATACACAGAGTTGCTATGACTATGGTTGTTGGGTGGGAACATGGCAACCCTGGGAAATGTTATCTGCGCAGCCGTTAAATTTTGGAGATTTGAAATTTTGAGAAGGGATAACAGGTTGCCATGGTACCTCTTGTAAAAGGTTCTAAAAAAAGTCCACACCAATTTGGTATAATTTTTTTTAATAAATCTACCGCTAATTGTTCTAATATTTCTTTAATAAATCGACGGCTATTTTGCCAAATATTTCTTCTAGAAATTCAAGGCTATTTGGTCTAATATTTCTTCTAGAAAAACACACATATTTGGTCTAATATTTCATCATGGTACAATTATAAAAGGTAACAGCAAGTCCCAGCTGGTTTGATTCAAACGTAGTACTAGTGTCAATATGAATTTGACAAATTATGTTTTTAAAAATCACCCAACAGGAAAATTGGGAACGCATACAATTCGAAATTGTTCTTTATTAAATGTACTCCCGTATTCATTTTACTTAATCTTCCTGTTGGGAAAGTTTGAGGAAGCAAATCATTCTTCATTGAATAACTCGCAATTCCCTTAACTTTCATATGTGTTACATATATAAGTGGCAATGGTTCAATTATAGGAAAGATGTGGAAGCGATAGAAATATAAATTTGATAGATTTTCATTCATGTTTTTCAAATTTTATTTTTAGGATTCGAAAATATTTTATTTTCAAAATAAATATAATTTATTTGTTTGTTTACATTGTTCTGTCAAATGGCGTTGACACTAGTATAACTTATAAAAACAAATTTCCATGTGGTTGTTGTATCGTTTGTTGTACAACAACACTTGCTGTTACCTTCTATTATTATACCATGATATTTCATGTAGAAAAACACGGCTATTTGGTCTAATATTTCTTTTAGAAATTCACGGCTATTTGGTCTAATGTTCCTTCTAGAAATTCATGGCTATTTGGTATAATATTTCTTCCAGAAATTTACGGCTAATTGGTCTAATATTTCTTTCAGAAATTCACGGCTATTTGGCCAAATATTTCTTCTAGAAATTCAAGGCTATTTGGTCTAATATTTCTTCTAGAAAAACACACATATTTGGTCTAATATTTCTTGTAGAAAAACACGGCTATTTGGTCTAATATTTCTTTTAGAAATTCACGGCTGTTTGGTCTAATATTTCCTCTAGAAATTCACAGCTATTTGGTCTAATATTTCTTCTAGAAATTCACGCCTATTTGGTCTAATATTTAAACGTAAGAAAATCACGAATGTTTGGTCTGATAATTATTTAAATATTACACATCTATTTAATTTTTATACCCTTCACCACACTGTGGTACAGGGTATTATGTCTTTGTGCATATGTTTGTAACAGGCAAAAGGAAACGAGATAGACACATGGTTCCTTTTGAGAATATGCATAGAATCACTTTCTAAGTCGATTTATGCATGCATGAGCAAGTACAGGTCGCATTTATGATCCGAATTGGATGAAATTTGGCACAGCTCATTTGTTTGGCCCAAGGACAAACCCTATTGAAATTGGGAAAAATCGGTTCAGATTTAGATATAGCTCCCATATATATATTTAACCGATTTAATATAAACGGTCCCTATATATCTTTCGATTTGCACGAAATTTGGTACAGCATAATGAATTAGGTCTAGAATGATGTCTGCCAAGTTTCGTGAAAATCGGTCAAGATTTAGATATAGCTCCCATATATAGTTTCGTCCGATTTCATGTAAATAGTGCCCCAAAGTCCCTATATATCTTTCGATTTGCACGAAATTTGGCATAACGTACTGAATTAAGCCTCGAGTGGTGTCTGCCAAGTTTCGAGAATATCGGTCCAGATTTAGATATAGCTCCCATATATAGTTTCGTCCGATTTCATGTAAATGGTGCACCAAAGTCGCTATATATCTTTCGATTTGCACGAAATTTGGTACAGCCTAATCATTTAGGTCTAGAATGATGTCTGCCAAGTTTCGTGAAAATCGGTCCAGATTTAGATATAGCTCCCATATATAGTTTCGTCCGATTTCATGTAAATGGTGCACCAAAGTCGCTATATATCTTTCGATTTGCACGAAATTGGGCATAACGTACTGAATTGAGTCTAGAATGATGTCTACGAAGTTTCGAGAAAATCGGTCCAGATTTAGATATAGCTCCCATATATAGTTTCGTCCGATTTCATGTAAATGGTGCACCAAAATCCCTATATATATTTCGATTTGCACGAAATTCGGCATAACGTACTGAGTTGAGCCTAGAGTGATGTCTGCCAAGTTTTGAGAAAATCGGTCCAGATTTAGATATAGCTCCCATATATAGTTTCGTCCGATTTTATGTAAATGGTGCGCCAAAGTCCTTATATATCCTTCGATTTGCACGAAATTTGGCATATCGTAATGAATTACGTCTAGAATGATGTGTGTTAAGTTTACTGAAAATCGGCCCAGATGTAGATATAGCTCCCATATATAATTTTGTCCGATTTAATGTAAATGTTGCACCAAAGTCCCTATATATATTTCGATTTGCACGAAATTTGGTATTGCGTAATGAATAAGGTCTAGAATTATGTGTGTTAAGTTTCGTGAAAATCGGTTCAGATTTAGATATAGCTCCTATATATTTTTTTCCGAGTGTGTGTAAATTGTGCACTAAAGACCCAAAGTTTGTCTGATTTCCACACAATTGGTACAATGAACTGTAGTTACTATAATACATTTCCTTTACATTGCTTTATATAATTTTGTCCCATTGTAAGAAGCAACCCTATATCTGACCAAATGAAAACTTTAGTGTAGGTTACAGAATGACATGTTTATGGATCCATTTTCATGTTAATGGTTCTTCAAAAATTCGACGTCTGTTATGATTCATCTGTTGAATATACCCAAAGTGGTGAAGGGTATCATATAGTCGGCCCCGTCCGACTTTACTGCTTTTCTTACTGGTTTAAATTTAAATGAAATTATTCTGTTTGTTTCCTTCTTTCAGTACTGGCAATATCTCTATAATTCTTTCGTTATGAATTATCTGGTTCACACTTATTATTGGTGAGTCACCCTGTTCATCGTTGATTAAGCAAATGCTGGACTAGTTCAGTGATTCCTGTTAGTGAATCTTTCTATCGAATTAAATTCTCCTCCAAATTAACGAAATTGAAAACTAAGATGCCCATATATCCCTGGAAAATCCTCTAAAGGATTATGAAAAAATTATAGAAGACAAATTAAAGATGGATACTATTATTAGCACTGACACGATGAACAAAATTTGGAATAAAATATCGACGGCAGCTAGAGAAACGAAATTTTCTAAAAAATAAAGGCAAACTAGTTTTTTTAATAAATTCACGCCTATTTTGGTCTAATATTTCTATAATATATCCACGCCTATTTTGGTCTAATATTTCTTTTAATAAATGCACGCCTATTTTAGTCTTATATTTCTTTAAATAAATCCACGATTATTTTGGTCTAATATTTCTTTTAATAAATTTACGCCTTTTTTTTGTATAATATTTCTTTAAATAAATACACGACTATTTGGGTCGAATATTTCATTTAATAAATCCACGATTATTTGGGTCTAATATTTCATTTAATAAATCCACGATTATTTGGGTCGAATATTTCATTTAATAAATCCACGATTATTTGGGTCGAATATTTCATTTAATAAATCCACGATTATTTGGGTCGAATATTTCATTTAATAAATCCACGATTATTTGGGTCGAATATTTCATTTAATAAATCCACGATTATTGGGGTCTACGCCTATTTTGGTCTAATATTTCTTTTAATAAATCCACGCCTATTTTGGTGTAATATTTCTTTTAATAAATCCACGCCTATTTTGGTGTAATATTTCTTTTAATAAAACCACGCCTATTTTGGTTTAATATTTCTTTTAATAAATCCACGCCTATTTTGGTGTAATATTTCTTTTAATAAAACCACGCCTATTTTGGTGTAATATTTCTTTTAATAAAACCACGCCTATTTTGGTGTAATATTTCTTTTAATAAAACTACGCCTATTTTGGTTTAATATTTCTTTTAATAAATCCACGCCTATTTTGGTGTAATATTTTTTTTAATAAATCCACGCCTATATTGGTGTAATATTTTCTTTAATAAATCCACGCCTATTGTGGTGTAATATTTCTTTTAATAAATCCACGATTATTTTGGTTTAATATTTCTTCTAATAAATCCACTCCTATTTTGGAGTAATATTTCCTTTAATAAAAACACGCCTATTTTGGTTTAATATTTCCTTTAATAAAAACACGCCTATTTTGGTCTAATATTTCTTTCAATAAATCCACGTCTATTTGGTCTACATTTTAACGGTAATTAGTAAAAATTTTAATTTTTATCAGAACTGGCAACATCCCAATAATTAGTCAGCTATGAATCACTTTGTCCGCACTCTTTGTTTTGTATGAGTCACCCTGTAGTTCTTTTATTGAATAGCTGATATGCAAGTAGTTCAGTAGTTCCTGCCAGTGAATCTTACTACTGAACTAAACTCTTCTCCAAATGAACGAATTTGAAAACTTTGATGCCCATATATCCCTGGAAGACCCTTTAAAGGATTATGAAAAACTTATCGAAGACAAATTAAAAGCAGATATCGTTATTTCCAATGACACGATGAACAAAATTTGGAATAAAATATCTACAGCAGCAAGAGAAAGAGTTTGGCAGCTTTTGTTTGAAGACAACTCGAACAAAGAAACCAATGACCACTTGGAAAAGGCAGCAGGATTACTTAAAATGCTCAAGGAGGACTCGTGTTTTTATTCTCCATGGGAATACAATGAATGGATTATACGGCTGAGAGATGAATTGTTGCAGCGTAAGATGTTGGCATTTTGGAAAAACATAATTGTTGCTCAAGAATTGGGTCCTGCCTGGGCTAGAGATAGTGATTTGTTTGAGGATTCCGATGATCTAGAGCCAGCAAAATTTTATGAGTATGGAGGTTGTAAGGCTCCATGGTTGGCTGAAGAGAAAAGTAAAAATATGCCTAACTCAAATGTCCTGGAAATTAAACCAATTTCTTTGGAAACCCCCTTGGAGGACTATAAACGTAATATGGAACTGCAAATTGTTCATAATTCCGTGGAAAAGAATGCCTTCGAAAGCATATTTGCCAATGTCAGAGACATTATTTGGCAATTGTTGTTTAAGAAGGAGGTGGATTCAAGTTATTTGAATGATAACAATATTGAAAAGGCGACATCGTTATTACGTCAATATAAACAGGATGCCTGCCACCATTCACCATATGACTATAACAATTGGATAGAAAAGGTAAAAGAGGAACTTCTTAATAGACAGCAATTTGATTTTTGGCAAAATGTTATTGTCAAAGAACAACTTGGCCTCTGCTGGTCGGGAGATTCAAAAGGTTTTCAGAACCTAGAAGAAGAAATGCCAAAGGAATTTTATGAATATGACAAAGGAAGAGAAATGTTTGACATAAAACAATAACATGGTAGCATCAACTGTGCCATCAGAATACAAAGTTACAAATTTGGGTTCTGATATTTCGAAAAAGTCGAAAATCCACATTCCAGGCCGATTAAATCATACATTTTATTTTTTGACCGCATTTCAAATAAATTTAACATATTCTCATTTAATTTCATTATGCCTAAAAATATGCTTCATTTTTTCATAATATTTGAAACATTCACTTCATAAGGGCAGTGAATAGATAATCAAATAAAACGTCAGGCAAAATGGATGCCAGCCGGGCAAAGGTTGGTTCTATAAAAAATATTCTTAAAGAAACCTCGCTCCTGATTACACTTCTGATGATCCTGAAAAAAAATTCCTCGGCAATCCACGCTCCTGATGACACTATAAAAAACCAGTAAGGAAAGTAGTAAAGTCGGACTGGGCCGACTATATGATACCCTTCACCACTTTGGGGATATTCTACATATCGACGCCTCCGAAGAATAGTATGCTAAGTCTGAAAAGTGAGGTTTTCAGCAGAAGCTCTCAAAGTATGGTAGTTTCTTAAATCTAACGTGCCATGCTAAGTAAATTTTTGCTTATAACTTTGGTTTGGATTGGCCGATGATCACCAAAATTTCAGAGAATTTAAATTAAGGACCGTAGTATCTAAAAACGTAAAGAACTTTAAAACATGCTAAGTCGACTTAGCATACTATGGTTCGGAGGCGTCGATATGTATCTTTACAGATGTCGCCTTTTCGAAGGAACATTGAATTCATATTTTAAATAGACTTTAAGCTCACTTTACGCACGCTATTTGGTATGCTTCACTTTTTAAAATGTAGTATCAATCAAGCACCCATTGATTATTTGGTTTACAATCAACATGAATTTATACTAATTTTAGTAAGTTTTGCCAATCGGCCTAGCTATGGGTCTATAGTACACCATTTACTTAAAATCGGACGAAAGTATATATAGGAGCTATATGCAAATCTGAACCAATTTCAAGAAAACGTGACACAAACAAGGTTATAGTAACCTCAGTACATTGTAAAAAATTTACATTAAATCGGACGAAAAATATATTGGAGCTATATCTAAATCTGAACCGTTTTTCACGAAACTTAGCACACATCACTCTGGACCCAATTCAGTGCCCTATGCCAAATTTCGTGCAAATCGAAAGTTATATAGGGACTTTGGAGACCCATTTACTTTAAATCGGAAGAAATTTTATATGTGAGCTATATATAAACCTGACCCAATTTTCTCGAAACTTGGCACATGTCATTCTTAACCTAATTCAGTACTTTATGCCAAATTTCGTGCAAATCGAAAGATATTTTTGGACTTTGGTGCACCATTTACCTTAAATCTAAATCTGAACCGATTTTCTCGAAACTTGGCACACATCATTCTGGACCTAATTCAGTACTCTGTGCCACATTTCATGCAAATCGAAAGATATAGGGGGACTTTGGTGCCCCATTTACCTTAAACCGGACGAAACTATATATGGGAGCTATATCTAAATCTGGACCGATTTTCTCGAAACATGGCGCACATCATTCTGGACCTATTTCAGTACTCTGTGCCAAATTTCATGCAAATCGAAAGATATAGAGGGACTTTGGTGCCCCATTTACCTTAAATCGGACGAAACTATATATGGGAGCTATATCTAAATCTGAACCGATTTTCTCGAAACTTGGCAGACATCACTCTAGGCTTAATTCAGTACGTTATGCCAAATTTCGTGCAAATCAACAGATATATAGGGACTTTGGGGCACCATTTACATGAAATCGGACGAAACTATATGGGAGCTATATCTAAATCTGGACCGATTTTCTCCAAACTTGGCATACATCACTCTAGGCTTAATTTAGCACGTTATACCAATTTTCGTCCAAATCAAAAGATATACAGGGACTTTGGGGCACCATTTACATGAAATCGGACGAAACTATATATGGGAGCTATATCTAAATTTGGACCGATTTTCACGAAACTTGGCAAACATCATTCTAGACCTAAATGATTAGGCTGTACCAAATTTCGTGCAAATCGAAAGATATATAGGGACCGTTTACATTAAATCGGTTAAATATATATATGGGAGCTATATCTAAATCTGAACCGATTTTTCCCAATTTCAATAGGGTTCGTCCTTGGGCCGAATAAGTGACCTATGCCAAATTTCATCCAATTCGGATCATAAATGCGACCTGTACTTTGTTTACAATTTAACATGGACAGACAGACGGACGGAGGGACGGACGGACGGACATGCATATATCGACTTAGAAAGTGATTCTATGCATATTCTCAAAAGGAACCATGTGTCTACCTCGTTTCCTTTTGCCTGTTACAAACATATGCACAAATACATAATATCCTGTACCACAGTGTGGTGAAGGGTATAAATACCCGTTTAAAGTCCACGGTTCTGATTAACCTGAAAAAAATATTCTTTAAAAATCTTCTCTCCGCATAAGCCTGGAAAAATTTACGCTTCAGATAATGGCGCACGAAAGAACACAATTTCAGATGACTGTTCCTGATGACGTTTTTATTGTGGTTCAGTCAGAACAAAAGAGGTTATATTAGATCAGTATCTCTCGACCACGGTTCTGATTAACCTGAAAAAAATATTCTTTTAAAGTCTTCTCTCCGGATGAGCCTGGAAAAATTTACGCTTCAGATAATGGCGCACGAAAGAACACAATTTCAGACGACTGTTCCTGATGACGTTTTTATTGTGGTTCAGTCAGAACAAAAGAGGTTATATTAGATCAGTATCTCTCGACCAGGAAATTTTCCTTGGAGGGAAATATCGACGTTTACGTTAGGATGTTTTGCGATTATCAGATCGTTTCGGATTGTAGACCCAACTGTCAAGGAAAGATCGTTAATATTATTCCCTTTACTTACATCGATACATTCCAGGGCATAGTAACATAGAAGGAAATGATATAGCCGATGAGCTTGTTCGAGGGGGTTCGAGGTCGTCTATTCTACCGAATAATGTATCTGAACAACCTGTTATTGGCTATTTCATTGGCAAAATCCCTATGAGCTACTGCGAGGTAGTCGGTAACAGATGGATGCAGGATTTCAAAAACAATCTGGCCTGAATTCCCATGCCGTAGAACTACTTCGTTGCTGTCTCATAGTAAGAGGGAGATAAAAATCATTGTGGGAATGAATGTAAAAGGTCGCTGCTGGATTAGATCTCTCATATTCAAATGGGACATTAACACAGTGGATTATTGTCGTCTATGCAAATATTAAATTGATAATTTTGCGTTATCTCCGCAATAGACCCCAAGAAGATACTTAGCTTTGTTATAATTCGGACATGGCTAAAATACAGACAGAAAAGGACTTGCGTCGTTTTAGATCGTAGAGCCCATTTCGTCGTTGGTTGAGTAATAATCGGGTCGTTTCGGATAGTATACCCCATTGTCATTTTAGGGCAGTTGCGGTTCTCAAGGCCGCATTCTGGCACGTCTTCCACTCCCTATTAATTACATTGGTAAACCTTACTGACTGCGATTAGCTTATCTATTATCTTATAAGAAATCAACAAGGTATTCTTGTCAGCAACCCAATTGCTTGCAGTATCATAGGCTTGTGTTGACAAAAAGCCGAACATAACACCCAAAATCTCGATATACTTGATTGTCCAAATCTGCTCTGGGCCTTGAAAAAATATTTAAAAAAATCCACGCCTTTTATTAGTCCTTTTTCGATGGGCCTTGAAAAAATATTTAAAAAAATCCACGCCTTTTATTAGTCCATTTTCGATGGGCCTTGAAAAAATATTTAAAAAAAATCCACGCCTTTTATTAGTCCTTTTTCGATGGGCCTTGAAAAAATATTTAAAAAAAATCCACGCCTTTTATTAGTCCTTTTTCGATGGGCCTTGAAAAAATATTTAAAACCAGTAAGGAAAGTAGTAAAGTCGGACGGGGCCGACTATATGATACCCTTCACCACTTTGGATATACACAAAAGCTCCTCCAGAAGATAGAATAAATGTATCATCTTTGGGGTACATGAAATCGGACATTTGTATAAACTCAAAACAAAATTATGTATAAAAGCTATATGTAAATCTCGCTTTAAAAAAAGGATGACTTGAATATCTGGCTTTGCCGACTATATTATAAACTACAACATTAAACACGGAATAATTGGTTTCCTTTCTTTTATGAAAGTACTTAGCTCCACCGCCACGTCAAGGCTTATTCCTTGGAGGAGTAAAACAGTCGAATAATAAAACACTACTAAAGTAGCGGCCATTCAACATGTTTCAGTTGTTAATATAGCCATCATGTAATGATGGTGGAAATAACATATTTAATATATCTTCATTGTCTGACTAAATTTTTAACAGGTGTTAAGAATTGGAGACAAAAAAATGGAATAATTAGTTTCCCTTCTAGTTTGAAAGTACTTAGCTCCACCGCCACGTCAAGGCTTATTCCAAGGAGGAGTAAACAGTCGAATGATATAAAGCTACTACGCAGAATAGCTTATCCTTCGACATGTTTTGGTTTTATTTTTACTTGTAATATAATTGCAAGAAAAACAATCAATTCAAGCAAATAGGATTGTCTTAAAACTGTTAACATAAGTTAGCAATTTAAAACACTTTTGATATGTATTCATTTTGATATACAAATAATATATCAAATGTACAATTGCATTTTATTTCTTGCTAAAATCATGTATTATAAACTAAGAATTTGTTACAGGTTTATTTAATATGTGAATACATATCACGTCATGGCATTTACTTAACTAAAAATTAATACAATAAGAGAAAATATTACAATTCAATTGGATATGTTAACACATATCGTGTCATGGTAACTATGTACAGTTTCGTATGTTATAGCATTTATTATGCTATCGTCAATATTACTGAAACACCAATCAATTTGTGTTAAACCTTTCGTTGTTGGTGTATTCAGAATAGAAAGAAGGTTGTTATTGTTTAGGAGTATTTCAGTTTC